GTGTGTCTGTATATGTGTGTGTGTGTGTGCGCGCGTGAGACATGTCTGACTTGAGCCCCCTCTCTCTCTCTCTCTCTCTCTCTCTCTCTCTCTCTCTCTCTCTCTCTCTCTCTCTAAATCTCTCTCTCTCTCTCTCTCTCTCTCTCTCTCTCTCTCTAAATCTCTCTCTCTCTCTCTCTCTCTCTCTCTCTCTCTCTCTCTCTCTCTCTCTCTCTCTCTCTCTCTCTCTCTCTCTCTCTCTCTCTCTCTCTCTCTCTCTCTCTCTCTCTCTCTCTCTCTCTCTCTCTCTCTCTCTCTCTCTCTCTCTCTCTCTCTCTCTCTCTCTCTCTCTCTCTCTCTCTCCATCTCTCTTCGTTCCTCTGCCCTGCACCTTCCTGGTCCTTTCTGGTGGTTCAGACCTCATGCTCTTGATTTGCTTGCCATCACATCACGGCTGCCTTTGTGATCGCTTCAGGTCCGGCCGCCAAAAAGCCCAAGGCGGAGACCAAGCTGTGGGGCGGTCGCTTCACCGGGGCCGTCGATCCGCTCATGGAAGAATTCAATGCCAGCATCAATGTGGATCGCCGCATGTACCGCCAGGACATTGTCGGCTCGCAAGCTTACGCCCGCGCCATTGCCAAGGTGGGCCTCATTACCGAGGACGAACGCGACGCCTTGATCACGGGCTTGGATCAGGTCCTGGCCGAGTGGGCCAACAATCAGTTTGTCCTCCAGCCCAACGATGAAGATATCCACACCGCCAACGAGCGTCGTCTTAAAGAACTTGCTGGTCCCGTCGCTGGCAAGCTCCACACTGGCCGCAGGTACAGGCCTCGCCCAGCCCACCTAGCATCATCCCTCTCAATCCACCCAGACGCCTGCCTGCTGGATCCGCCCAGAGTCATTCACCACCCTCTCACGTCATGGGTTCAACTCCTTGGCTCTGATTGGCCATCCCGCTCGCCACGTTTGTTAGCCGCAACGATCAGGTGGCCACGGATATGCGCCTGTGGTTGCGTGATGAGCTCACCGAACTCATCGACTTGCTCAAGGCCTTTGTGGCGAGCAGCATCGAGCGAGCCGCCGCTGACATTGATGTCCTCATGCCCGGTTACACGCATCTCCAGGCAAGTGCCTTCACCCTACTTTACCACTCCACCCCCACCCCGTGTGCCCGCCTGCTCCCTATTTTTTTGGTGTTTGTTTTGGTGTTGAGCACAATCTCAGTCCCACGACTTGAGTTTGCTGCCCCTCCCCCTCACGCAAACGCCACTGCATTTGCACCCCCTTCCTATAGCGTGCCCAGCCGATCCGCTGGTCCCACTGGGTGCTCTCGCATGCCTGGGCCATGCAGCGGGACATTGAGCGGCTCACCGACTTGCGCAAGCGCGTCAACGTCATGCCTTTGGGCAGCGGAGCGCTGGCCGGCCACCCCTTTGGCATTGACCGCCAGGCCCTGGCCCAGGATTTGGGCTTTGATGCCATCTCCTTCAACAGCCTCGACGCCACAAGCGGTCGTGACTTTGTGGCCGAGTTTTTGTTTGCCGCCACCATGGTTAACATCCACCTCAGCAAGTGGGCTGAAGATCTCTGCAACTACTCGTCAAAGGAGTTTGGCTTTGTCCAACTCAGCGATGCCTACAGCACTGGCTCCTCCTTGATGCCTCAGAAAAAGAACCCAGACTCCCTCGAGCTTATTCGTGGCAAAGCCGGCACCACCTTTGGCAGCTGCGCCGGGTTTCTCATGACCCTCAAGGGCCTGCCCAGCACCTACAACAAGGATCTTCAAGAAGACAAAAGCGCCATGTTCCAAGTTGCCGACGCCCTTCGCAAGCTAGTGCCGGTACGGCGCTTTTCTTTGCCTCTCCCTCTCCAGAGCCCGGCCGTGGTCTCATTGACGCGTTCTTGTGTGCAGATTGCCACCGGGGTGTTGAGTACCTTGCGGATCAATCCTGAGCAAATGCGTGCCGCCCTCAGCGTTGACATGCTGGCCACTGATCTGGCCTACTACCTTGTCCGTCGCCAAGTGCCGTTCCGCGAGGCCCACGGTCTCTCGGGCCAATGCGTGGCACGCGCCGAAGAAAAGAAATGCTCACGTTCGTCTCAGTCTCGTGTTCCACCCGCTCAGGATTACCGCTTTTTTTTTTCTTTTTTTTTTTTTTTCTTTGTTTCTTTTTTTTTTTTTTTTTCTTTTCTTTTGATTTCTTTTCTTTTGATTTTTTTTTTTTTTTTGCTCTTTTTTTTTTCCTGGACCTCAGCTCACATATGCCACACATGTCTTCCAGTGAACGAGCTGACACTGGAAGATTTCCAGGCCATCCATCCAAAGTTTGAGGCAGACGTGTCCGACGTACGTTTTATCCCATGATGTCGGGCCGGCCTTCCTTTGCCGCCACGCTGACCCGCCCACTCATCTACGCATGCTATTCTCAATCAGGTCTGGAAATTCGAGAACAGCGTGGATCAATACTCTGCTTCGGGTGGCACGGGCCGTACTGCCGTCCTCGAACAGATTGAATCCCTCAAGGCCAAGTTGTAATCAAATGTTTCACTCTTTGGCTATTCCCCGTATACCAAATCTATTCATCCGCCCACGTCAAATGTTATATCTACCTTGTCTTCAACAGACCCCTGGATAGGTACGCATCATGGACAGCTAGATCACTCTCAGGACACAAGCATCAATTATTAAATTATTCATGTCAAAGTCGTTCACACCAGATGTTTTCATTCGTTGGGTTTCTTGCAAACCCCAGAGATGAAAACCAACAAGAAAACCAACAAGAAATGGGTCTACCTCCAAGCTTGTTGTTGCTGCTGCTGCTGCGGCCGCCGGCCCGGAAGGGCACTGCGCCCACCACCGTGAACAGGCGTAGCGTGTCCAGTCAAGTAAGGGTTCAGGTAGGGGTTGGCATAGTTGCGGGGTGGCGGATGGTCGTAAGCCTGAGGTTGAGACACGTGATCTGCCGGCAGCTGATTATACGGCGAGACATGTGCTGGACCGCGGTGTACAGCCTGCGCTTCATGAGGCAACAACTGCATGTAGCCATTGTTGGGCGCCCCAGCCCCAGTTTGCCCGCCTCGGTCCTCCACATAGTTTTTGCGACCGGGCAGAGCTGCACGACTGGAAGCATGGGAAGGCATCATCTCCAAGATGTAGTTACCTTCACCAGGCGCGCGCCGACCAGGCAGACGTGCACCGTCACGCACATAGCTGCTATCGTGGCCATCAGAGGCCCCATTCATGTGGCCCGGCTTGGGTGGGCGGGCTGGGGCGTCGGATGAATACGAGCTGTTCACGAGGGATACGCGCGTGGTCTCTGCAGCCGGTGCGAGCGCCTCGGACTCAAGCACATAGCCGTTATCGGTAAGGCGAGTGGCATTGGACGAGGTTACGCTTGATTCTTGCAGATAGCCGTCGCCTCCCATGCTCAAAGCGTTGTTTGACTCATCAAAGTTGACGGAATCTTCTTGAGCATAGCCTGCATCATTGAACGTGGTGCCACTCGATGCCAGGTCCACCTCCGGCTCTTTGTACGGCGTGCGGACCGTGCCAGTGCGAACAAAGAACTGCACCTCCTCCACCAACTCGACAAAGTCAGGCCGGTTGGCTGGCACATACATCCAGCATCGCATCATGATATCGTACATCGCATCCGGGCATGCATCTGGCTTGGGCAAACTATTGCATGAAACAAGACCACCACACCCAAGATGAGTTGCTCTTCGAGCCGCACCGTCGTTCTCGCTTCCCACTGCAAATGAATAAACTTGGATCGCAGAACGCACCGATAGCCCGCCGCAATAGCTGCCACTGCCTCCATGGCCGTGTACTCGGCGTAGCTATGATAAAAAAGGGAAGTAACACATTTACATTAGCCTAGAAGGCAAGAACGTCGCGTCCTAAATCACAAAAACACAAACCCCTCGGATAACTTACGGGGCACGAGCATAGCTGTACACCTCCCAGCACAAGATGCCAAAACTCCACACGTCGGACAGATTTGTGTAGATGCGATCGTTGACCGACTCTGGCGCCATCCACTTGACAGGAACGCGATCGTCCGACTGCTTCTTGTAGTAATCGGCCTCGTAAATGTTACGACTCATACCAAAATCAGCCAACTTGACCACGTTGTTTTCAGCGACCAAAATGTTACTATGAAAAACGCACACGTCAGGCGTCAAGACGGATACTGCACACAGCTCGGACTCGACGGGTAAAGCAGAAAAAAAACACAATGGGAGAAAAAAAAAAGAGGTTGCGTATGCACATACCGAGCTGCCAGATCACGATGGATCACTTTCATTTCTTCAAGATAGCGCATGGCATTTGAAATTTGCACGACCATGGACGTGAGGTCTTCGTTTGTGAGCTGGTCACGCGGTTCCTCGGCGGTCGGACGGCAGTCTCGCAAGTACTGTTTCAAATCACCCTACACATCCGTCCAAGCACGTGTCCCTCCCAGTCAACAAAGGCCACAGCGGGGAAAAAAAAAAAAAAAAAGACACATACACACATACACCCACATATATATGCTAGAAACGCTGCGCTTGCTAACCTTGGGCATGATTTCGGTCACAATGTAAAAGGGTGTTTCCTTGGTGCAGACAGCCACGAGTTCGAGCAAGCTTTCATGGTGCAACAAACTCATCAGGCGGGCCTCCATCAAAAACTTCTCCAACTCCGTTTGCGACACGCCGTCCAACAACGCCTTGACGGCCACAGTCTGGGAACGACCGTCAGGGCGCTGCAGGTCGGCGACGCAGACGATACCAAAGGCACCCTTGCCGAGCTCCTTGCCAAGCTTGAGACGCGCACGATCGAGCTCCAGCAGAGCAAACTCGCGCTCTCGGGCCTCACCATCGGCACCAATGGTCTCGGCAAACTCACGTGAGAACATGTCGCGCACCTTGACTGTAAGCTCTTCCACACCGAGCTTCATGGAACGAAGCTGCTGTTCCAGCTGCTCGTTGTAGCGCCGTTGGCGATTGCCACGGATGATACAAAAGGCCAGCAGAATGACAATGATCAACAAGATGGCCGAGGTCACACCCGCAACCACGGTCTTGGAGAGGCCCTCGGTCAGAGACTGCGAGGCACTGCGCACGGGCAGGTTTATATACATGACGTTGCTTGAGGTAGAGCCCACATGATTAAAGGCCAGAACAGATAACTCGTAACTGGCACCCGTGGACAGATCTGAGAACTCAGCCAGGCGTGCTGTACCCGCCAAGGCAGTTCGAACTTCGCTGTCAGTCCCAACCATGCGCAGAACCACCTCAAACTCGTCGATGATGCCATCGTAGGCCCACTGCACACGCGCACTCGAGGACGTCAGCTCGCGTTGGGTGATGACGGGTGCATTGGGCAAGCCTGCGCTGGTCGTAAAATTGGTTGACGAATTGCTGGGAAAGCCCAGACCAGCCTCATTCTCAAGCGCCACGTCCAAGTCGTACGTCGTTGCTGGGACCAAGTTGGTGACGGTGAAGCGAAATTGCTGGTTTCCCTCTGCCAAGGGATCAGTGGCAATTTGATAGCTGAACAGTGCATCAGACTCGCCTTCAAAGGGCGTGATTCGAATGCGAAAACGCGTATTGACTGGCAACGCCTCATCCACCTGAATGCGTCCAACAATTGAGGTGTTGGAGATCTGCAGTATCTCTGGCACCACGTACAAGTTGTATGGAAACGGGATGGGACTTGTGTCCAAGCCAACCCAGCTCGTGGCATTGGTGGTCCACAACCCAACAACGGCGTCGCCCCCATCAACGCTGGTGGCTGTGCACTGAACAAGTTTGTCGGCTTGAAAGTGCGCCGTGGCAAATGCAGGGTGGCACGACGTGCTCAGAGAGTGGGTTCGATACAGATGTATGCGGTACGACGCCTGTGCGCTCAACGAAAGGAGCTCCCGCTGCTGAGAGCTGAGCCCTGTAGCCTGCGTGGTGAGCATGCTGGAAGGAAGTGCAGTCTGGCTCAAGTGAGCCTGGACACGATACATATTTGTAGGCTGCTCGGCGTCGTGCGTCCATGCCACGGTTGCGGAAACACCGTCCTCTGAAACTACCCGAATGGCAGGCGGGGTAACCAGATTGGTGGGGCGTGACAAAAGTGTAGAGACGTCCAAGACAAGCTCATGACCAAAGTCGCTGGTCAGAGTGACCACGATCCCAGTGAACGTGGCATCGAGGGCCAAAAGCAGCAGCTGCGTACTGCCTACTCGCGATGTGGTGCTGCTGGCTGCTGAAACGAGCGTACTGCCCACGCTCGCGAGCTCGTTGTTGGCGCTCGAGGATGGGATGGGCTCGCCGACGCCGGTCATGAGCAGGCTGCTCGCGTTGGCAGTTGCGGCCACGGACATGTTGACTTGATCGAGAAGGGCGGCGCCCGAGGCAGGCAGAACGCTTAGGGCACTAGGCTCACCTCGCCAAGTCACGACAGCAAAGGCCAGATAGCGCCCATCGGAGAGCACAAAGCCGGGCTGGACACTCGATCCAAGAAAGCTTGAGGCAAGCGTCTGCACCTGGATGGTAGCTCCAGCGGCATGGTCAACAACAACACTTGAATCGGGACAGCTGTCAGATTTGGCCAGCAGCGTGTAGATGGCATTGCTTTGTAGTCCGGTGATGCTAAACACTGAACTGTTGACACGAGTCACGGTGTTGAAGGGGGTAATGGCACCGTTCTTGATTTGAGCAATGCTAATATTATCGGAAGTGTCACTTGCGGTCGCGTCCATGAGCTGCACTTGGACGGAGGAATAACCAACTCGAACAAGAGAGAGCGGGTATACTTGACACTCGCAGCTGTAGGAGTAATCGGTGCTAGAAAGCTGAAGCTCATCTATACGATACACCTCGTCCGGAGCAATGAGTGGGTATTCGTTCATCAAACCTGCCGTTGTGGGACTGGGTGCAGCCACCTTAATAAAGCCTGTACCCGAAGTACTGCTGGACAGAAACATGCTGCGATTGGTGGTTGGTAGTCTTAGGACTGTAGCTGCACGGACAGTATCATCGCTGAGAGTGGCGAGTGGACACATCTGCGAAGCACACTCTGAACCCGAGGTACAAAGCCCATCGTGGCCCCAGCAGGCGCCTAGTCCATCATGCCAGTAACACGCGGCCGTATCTGCGCACGCGGCTTCAGAGCGCAAGGCATAACAAGCTTTGGGCAGGCGGACCTGCCGGCAGAGTGACCTGCCCAAGAACAAGCCACAGGACGAAATATGGGGGCACATGTCCAGGTCAACCGTGCTGCAGGATGTGGTGCGACGAAGCAGCCGCAAGGTATGAAGTGCGCCAGCGTTTGGAACGGCATAAGCTGCCAAAATAGTGAAGGGATTTTGCG